AGCTGCAACCTCGCAACGTTGCAGTATGATGCTCACGAATGAAGTTCGGTGTGTGTGCGTGCGTGTAGATATGTTCAGTTCAAGTTGAGAACAGTGCTCTGGCACCGTGCAACGATTTGAACAACTCCCCGGTCCTTGCAAAGCTTCGAGGATACATATCGCCCCAATAAACAACCCTTGTCCAGGCAGCTGGATGTGCCCTTACATCACTTTTGGGATGGCTTGAATTTGAAGTTGCCGGTGCTATATGCAATTGATACAATTCTTGGAGTTGTAAGCACCGAAAGCTGTCACAAGTAAGACAAAAGGTCTGGCAAAATGAGAGGCCAAAAAGGAGCACTTCGGCTCAGGGACTGTCTCGGACTGGCTGAAACAGCATTGCACTCCAGCGCTTCCAAGCCGACACAGCATGATTTCCTTGTCTTCGGTGCAAACCAGCTCTCCCGAGGACATAACGTGCCGTCCCTCTCACCGGACAAACCTGTTGAATTCACCAATAAAACTGACAATGCCAGTTCCCACCATTGCTTGCCTGAATTATGGTCCTAGGTGGACATGCTGTGCGCAAGTGAAAAAGGAGAACGCCACACTCCCTCTCCGTCACTGTGAACTGGATTAGGGGACATTCATGAACCAGGGTATTTACTTATTCATTTATATTTGTATATACGTGTCGATCCTGGGCTCGCACTATGTGAGCATGAATTCTTTGGGGACGCTTTGGTAAGCATCGTTTATGCGGACATGCATGTTGACCAACCACTTATGAAGGTATTCCAATCTTCCTCAACAAAAATGCAGACATGCAAAATACTGGCGCTGCTCTTGGCAGTCGTTTATTGGTTTAGAATGCTCCACATTTGATGGAAGCAGACCCTCACCAGGTCCTTGTGAGACGACCTCATTGGATGAATGCATGGTTGCCGCATAAAGGTGAAGGAAGGTTACCGCTTGAAGAAAGGTGCCAAAAGGTTAAAGATTGAGAAAACTCCAGCATGCATGCGTCGCAAAGCTGCTTGTACAAAGCAGACACACACACACACAACAAACACACCGATCCCAGCTTCGACATACTTTTGTCTTCCCCAAGGGGTGTTTGTGTGTGTATTTGGGGTGTGCTTGGTGGGTCCCCCTTAAGGCCCAGCCTTGGTGCCCTTGACGGCCTTTTTGCCCAAGGCAGCCCAAACCAAGGCATTCTCGAAGGCGATATCGTTTCCTGACAGCCACTCTAGCGCACTCAAGAGCAATTGTGCCCAATCAGACTGATGTATTCACCTAGGGCCTCCTTGAACAGACTATCAAACTTGCCCGCGTTTTGCGTGCCAAAGCGCGTCTGGTTGGGGGACCCCAAAATGGTGGTTTTCCTGTTGGTTTCCTTTTAAACGAAGGTAATGTAGACCCTGGTTTACTTTTCACCCTGTGGATGGTTTTTTTTTGGGGGGTGTTTGTTCCAAACCTAAAGTATGTTTAATCAACTCAGCATTCAAAAGAGCACCCTCCTGTCCACTGACGTGGAACCTGAGGGCCCATTTTCAAGGAACTTCCAGGACCCCTCAGTCAGGTTCCATGTTAGTGGACAGGAGGGTACCCTCAAAGAAAACCAACCCCCACACACACACAAACACACACTTGAACTCCAGATGGAGAGTGCTAATCTTTCGAGTACAACTGATGAGTTTCGAGTACAACTGATGAGTCTCGAGTATGGTGAGCTTCGACTCGCACATCACTCAGCTTCACTCTAGTTACTTGAACAGGGGCACACAAAGCTCACAATTGCAGGTACGTCCAGCTGATCAGGCTGGATATCACGAGTTAACAGCGAGCGTCTTCGTTGGCGCAGGACTCGCTGAAACTCCCTGCGCCCCCTGCTGCAGCGGAAAAAGGTTTTGGTGGCAGGGTATTCTGCCACTCCGCACACACACGCCCCTCAATGAGGGGCGAGGTTTCTCTTTTTCTGCAGGAAGATCGTCGCGGGCTCCGATCCAGCTGATAGAGGAACAGGCACCATGCACAACCATGCACAAGCAACAACCAAGCAAGATCATGCAAATGTAAAGACCACCCTTATTTTGTACGCTGTGCCACTCGTGCGAGTCTAGTCCTCAGTGAGCTCGAAGATGGGACTCGCCTTGTCCCTGTCACTGTCGGAAGGATTCACGGGCCGGTAGGGCTCGGAGACCCCAACCGTTTCCGATGGTGTGTTTCCACGCGATGCACGTACTGGTTGATGAGGTTGGGAAGCGTGACGTGCGCGAGCTGTCAGTTGTTGAGAGATCCCCTCTTGGAGACGAGTCAGTTCTTCGGTAGAGAAATCAGCCGCATCCGAGGACCTGAGAATCGCTTCTAACAGCTGCGGTGACATACTCAATGCCGCAGACTGCGTGGCCACGCTGTGATGATCAGGAAAATACATGGAATCAAATTCATGACCAGCTTGAGGGGCAGCGACTCTCCGATAGCCCTCTGTGGCCCAGTCTCGTTTGTACCACATGGTGACTGGGACCTGCCCACCGACTGAGTCCTGGTTGGGAGCATAGAACTCCCTCCATTCTCTGTAAGTGTGCGGAGGAGGTGGAGCATCATGTTCTTCATGTGGTGTCCATGATCCCGGATGAAAGATCTTGACCCACTGGGCATCTGGTTGTTGAGGGTCCGGACACCATTCCAGCCACGCCATGACAACGCAACCCCGGAAAGACAAATTGATAGGTGTACGGCTGCAGACAACAATGAGTGAAAGCGAAACAACTGCCACAATGCAAGAAACCACTTTTGCAGCACTGCACGGCTCCGGTATCGAAGACAATCTCCCGAATCGAATTGAACTGAACAGACTCCCCAGGAAGGCGAGGACGAGCATCAGCCATCATCTGAGTTGGAGGATGCCGATGAAGAGGTCAGTCCAGCATACATGAGGTCCGGTGCGCCCGAAGCGAAAACTGGCCGCGCGATGCTAGGGCGTGGACGACCCAGACGTTGGTATCCCCTGGTGACCCAGTCCCTGTAATGCCAAGTATAGAAGGATGCATAAGATACCGGTTGCGAAACAGCGCCTGTATTGGTGCCGCCTGTGCTTTCCCTAGGCCAATACACTTCGAAGTGGTGGACCTTGCGCCATTCCCGATAGGTGGTTGAGTCATCCGGGGCCGGTCCCAAGGTGTTCGCGGCGACTGGATGCCACGGACCCGGTACATAGATCCGAATCCATTCTACACTCGTGTTTGCTGGCCCATTGACGATGTCGTAGTCAAAGTAGCGAGGCAGGACCCATCGTGCTGCACCATACACTGTACAATTGAACATTTCAACCCGACAAGCCGCTCGAAGTCATAAAGGAAAGCGGCGAACAAATGGAGACGGAACGCACACCACCAAGCAAGACAACCCAACATGGATTCTCATACAAAGCAAGCACAACCGCATCATTTATCCGACATGCTACTCAAGTGTCACTCCGAATCGTTCCAAGGATCATAGAATGTCTTCCGCATCAGTATGGCAAACAGGGACGGACAAATCACATGTACGCGGGAGGGAAAATGATCCGCTGGGATAACAACCCACGAAGACAGAGAAGCCACAGTGCGCTGCAACGATGTCGATGACCAATAAGCACGATCTTGGAGGTTAGTTCGATGAGTGTCCATTAACTGAGTCAAAACCGGCTGCAGATCTGAAAGAAGACTGGAACCATGCACATGCCAGCGACGAGCAAGTTTGCGAAGTTGCGTGGTGAAACGTTGATGTAATAAGTCGACATCACCGAAATACTGATCCTTCATTGAGGCGGCCATGATTTCCATGTCAATGTCCGCATTGATGCGAGAAAACTCATCCACCATTACAGCATGACCATGTGCTCGGTGTATATGGTGATCATCGATGTCCAAACAGCGACACGGAAAGGATGTTTCAGGAGTCCATCTGCGCTGCCATGTGCGGTAGTTGTAGATCTTGTCGCCCAACGTGGCACTGCGAGTTTCCACCACCCGGATCTTTGGAAGGAAAAGAGAAGGGAACAGATCCCGATGAGAAGCAATCCAGCTTTGTAGCCATGTGCCAAGTAGAGCTTTCCAATTCCGGACATGCAGCGGCGGTAGGAGTAGCTGTGTCAAAGTGGTGGGTGGTTGTAGCCGTCGTTTGCGCAACACCTGGGCGAGGAGTTTCTGCGCCTTGGAGCGGAAGGGCTCGTTGACAAAGACGGCGAGCCGCAGTAAGTAGTACAGCTGAGTAGGAGGGAAAGCTGCCGACAGTAGGTCACGCATGGCTTGGAACGATGCTCCTGTATTGGATCCCAGCTGATAGAGAATAGAGTAATGGGCCTGAATGTCATCCAGCATGTCGGGTCGTAGTTGCCGTTGGAGATCCGGATGTAGTCGTCGTCGAAAGCGCTTGTGCAAGCTGAGGGAAGTGGGAGACGACAACGAGTGACGTCGAAAATCCACGAGATGTTCCCGGAAGCCCACCTTTCGCAAGATTCTGTGTACCCAGGGCGCATTCAAATGCGGGCGTAGCAAGTATTGCCATTTACTTTCTTGAACCCAAACCGAGGAAACAGGAAGTTTGATCTCCACCGGAACAGCACAGAAGAGCCAGTAAGTATTGGATCTCTTCCAGTAGTGAAGCGCGGGTTCGAAGAAGGCATGCCGTCCACGAAGTAGTTGTAGAAATTTGCGACTGCGTGAGTGTTCACGACGTAGAACATCCTGATCAGTCGCCCCAACATAGTAGGGTGTGTGCCATGGGGAAAGTCGAATGTAGACGCACGGTTGTTGATGATGACCTGGATCGTGTATGAAGTCATAGAGGTCAGGAAATCGTGCCCGCAATGAGCGAAGATGTCGCGTGTCGGCAAAAGTGGAGTGCATGATTTCACACAAGAGAGAAGTCTTGTAGAAGTGAAGGACTTCAAAGAACGGCGGAAAGTAGCCATGATCTTGTGAAATGAGACGTTGTAAGAAACTGATCAATAAATAGGCAGTGCACCGACATCTGTGAAGCTCATACCTGTTGGCCACGGTGTGCTGAGAGTGTGACATAGCGTGGTTCGGAATCTGAAGGGCTATCCGGACCACAACTAAGACTTCGAGAATGAGGCCCAACCACGGTAATTGTGTGATTGATTCGTACTCATCAGTTGGTATCGACGGTGGTGGTAGTCCAGGAAAACAGTATTGCCAGCACGTAGAGAACATGGTCAACGAGTGTAAAAGGTCGTCCAGCGACTGCCATTGTGCAACATCATCATAGATTCCACAGCGGCGAAGCTCATCCAACATGGTGAAATACAACCAATGAAATCTACCACAAGGCGGCGACATGAATACAAGCTGCACAGACAATCACACACAAGGCAATGCAAGAACGAGCAAGTACAAGATCAAACTAGTGCAACGCAGAAAATTGACGGACGAGTTTTCACCTTGACTCATCCGTGACATGGTTGCCGCTCCGGGCTCATAAGAGAACGAAGGTCATTATGATGCCTTCTCATCCGCAGAGTAGGCGAGCGGTCACGATGAGGTGACTCAATGCCTTCTCAGTGAGCTTGGTAAGATAGCCGGGCTCCAGTCCCCACGAAGCCGCCATCGCCCCGAGAGTGGGTGCGTCGCCTTTCGGCATGCGTTGACGCGCCTGAAGGAGCTGCGTCGCCATGGAATCTAATGACTTGTTGCCGTTGAGCCGGGACGGGTGATTGGCCCACTTAACCAGCGACGCCAAAGTGGTGGTTGTGGGCGATTGCTTGAGATAAAGGCGAGGCTGGTCACTGGTCCATGTGTAGTACTTGACAACTTCATCCGGCGTGCTGTGCATGGTGAGCAATTGTGACGCCGCCGGCTTGGACGGCGGTGACGACACTCCGTGAAGAGACTGAATGATCCGAGGTTGCACCGCGCTATCAAACGACTTGCCATCAAGGGCCGCTGCGCTGGCTGTAGGAAGGGAGCTGGCAGGTGACGAGGATGGTGTGTGGTTGACCGGTGGCGGTGTAACCAACTCTGCATCATCTTTCTGGCTTGCCATCGTGGGAGAGGTCGAAGCGCGCAGCGATGCGGAATACTGAGCTTGGAGCAGTTCATGCGCACGATTTAGATCATTGTACTTCTTGACCATGTCATCTGTCTGGGTGGAAGGTGTGAGAGAGGTGTGATGTTGCTGAAGAAATTGAAGTACCAAGCTGGCCAAATGGTCATGAACCTTGATCCGCTGATTGAAGTCATCGATGTTGAGACCCAGCGAGTTGGCAAGGTCCTTTTCCAGGGTGAGCAGGTTGAGTGACTGTGATCGTCGTAGTGGTTTGGAACAGGTACTCCAAAGTAAGGCCTCGGTGCGAGTGCGAAAGCCTTCCCACGTTACGAATCTGCCGTGAGCGAACGGTCGGAGTAGCCAGTTGGTGAGGCCCCCGTGGATAACCTGAACCAGGCGAACGTCCCGAATATCCATGCCTGACATGTCGCGAAGGTTGCCATGCGGAGTGTTGGCAACGGTCATGGGCAGGCTAAAGTTGTAGAGCTGATTGACATCAAACATGCCATCTCCAGGTGTCCAGTCAGGCGAAGGTGTAAGCCAGGCTTTCTGAGGGCGAACCGGTAGAGCCGCAGGAGGTCCAGGTGGCGGTGTAGGTTGGGGAGTAGAGACCGGTGGTGGCATCACGGGTGGCATGAACTTGGTTGGCGTGGGGTCTGGAGGGATCGGCATCATGTAGTTGATCGCTGGGTGTTGGAATTGCTGTGTGGGGCTGTGAGTCGATTGAAAGTTGGTGGGCATCATCGGAAAGTTGTTGGCAGAGTTGTAGCCGGAATTGTGTTGCCATGATACCAGGTTGTTCCAATCCATGTTCTCCGAGACCTGGCTGTCATTGTGTTCACGTCGGCGTGCTTTGCGAGCTTGAGGGGAAGGACTCCGATCACGTCTGCGCCGAGTCCTAGATCTATCTCGATCATCACGTCGAGACATGATGGCACAACAAATGCAAAACCGCAACTCCACAATCTTGAGAGGAACGAGTCCGATAAAATGCAAGTCCATGCAAGTTCAAGCCAGCAGCCAGCAGCAGACCTAGTGAGACGTCTCTATGATCTGACGGCTGTCTTCCCTTTAGTGAAACCTCGTTCCTGGTTAAATGTGAAATTCCGCTGTTCTATGATAAGAACGTTGAGGTCAAATTTTCCGACAGAGCCGGCCCGGGGTCACACAATGGGTACACCCGAGGATTCCCCACGAATGGGGTGTACACACTTGAACTCCAGATGGAGAGTGCTAATCTTTCGAGTACAACTGATGAGTTTCGAGTACAACTGATGAGTCTCGAGTATGGTGAGCTTCGACTCGCACATCACTCAGCTTCACTCTAGTTACTTGAACAGGGGCACACAAAGCAACGGCGGTTCAGGGGGGGGACCAAAAGGACATTCACAAACATCACAATTGCAGGTACGTCCAGCTGATCAGGCTGGATATCACGAGTTAACAGCGAGCGTCTTCGTTGGCGCAGGACTCGCTGAAACTCCCTGCGCCCCCTGCTGCAGCGGAAAAAGGTTTTGGTGGCAGGGTATTCTGCCACTCCGCACACACACAGAGACACACACACACACACACAAAAAAAAGCTTGATCAGAAGGTTCTTTATATGGGACGACCATTAGGGAAACCACCAAAAACAAGTTCCCCAAATGGGAAGAGTTACCTATGGTCATTTGAGGGGCTAGGAATATCACAATGGTTGTTAAGGATCCTTAATACCAGATACATGACCGTTCGTGTTAAACCCAAGTAAAGGAGTGTTTTGTCCATGGCCCACGTGTTGAGACTCTCACCTTCCATGTTGCTTTTTTGTCGCGCCTGGTGCAAACGGCTTCCGTGCGTGGATGCCATAGCCATGCATCAGGCTCTCCGAGATGGTCAGCTGCGAGGGGAGGATCCTCGCAACCGGCAATGTGAAATTCCGAGCCAATTTGCTGTGGCTCAAAAAGCCGGTACCAAAATGGAACCCTGGCAAGTGCAAACATGGACCAAAACCTGCGTAACCCCGCCTGTTCAATTTTGAGCCACACCCATTTGTGGGAATTTGGGTCTTATGACATTGGAAATTCCGGGCCCATCCTGGTGGGAATTTGGGTGGACTCCTAAACTTAAAATAGACTCATCGCTGCTCATGGGATGTGCAACCAATAAGGTCCTGCAGAAATAGCAACGCGGCCGAATCTTCCAGGGTGAATCCCTGCAAGCTGGTGTGATGTTGAATTGCTTGGTTTGGTGGACATCGTTCACATTGATTTATGTCCGAAGCCATTCTGTGGGATTGTTTTGTTCAAATTCACAGCATGGAATCCGCACAGTTCGCGCATGGAATCCAGCGGGAAAGCACTACATTATTCTCCAAGAACAGACAGGTTGGAGGTCTGGGTGCAATCCTGAAAGTTCGGAACCTCTGATCCAAACCCAAAATGTAAAAACGCTGCAAGTGAACCCGAAGAACCACACGTAAGAAAAGACGTGTGTCGTACTTGGTGTGGTCTTTGCTTGTCTGTATAGACTTCTTTGTTTCAATTTATCTGTTTTAGGCATCCCCATGCTACTTCAAGAATAATGCGCAAAAAAGTGAGCACACGGTTATCCACATTCAACGGCATCGCTTGTTATCCGCACAGACGTGCATGCACACGTGAACAGAGAGAGAAATAGAAGGTCCCTGAAACCACACTCTCTACGCCCCCATTTGGATTTGTGTTTGCAAAGATTGGCAGCGACTGGGGGCAACCAAGGGCTCGATTTCATGCCTTCTTCGTTCGATATTTCGCGGCATCATGAGGAGACTTAGTCCCATCTGTCTGCATGTGTTTTGTCAAGCGAGCTTGCAAACAATCCATGCTCGGTTTGGGTGCAGAACGACCGCAATCTGCCCAGCCAGCGTTCGGCTCGGTCCTCTCAATCCTCGCAAGGTCAGCGAGGACGTCTGTACCTGCACCACTTGATTCTGCATCCAAGGTAGTCACTTGATTTCAACAACTCAGGGAACTGTACCCAAAGGACTATGAGGTTCCTTTACCCAAGATCATGCCTCAAGTCTGACTGGAAATCCCAGGATCTGGTTGAAACCCCAGGTTGCTGTGGGGTCACATTGAATCAAGTCAGCATGTATACAAGGCTCGATTGAATTGGGTCGACATCTCCAACGGCTCAGTAGGCTTTCTGGATCCAATCAGAACTCGTTGCCCCGGTTCCGGAAGCGTTGTCGCGTCGCACCCAAACAACTTACGCGGAGTCCTAAGGCGACCATGGCCATTTGACCGTGGCACCAAAAGCCAGAGTTCAGCCTGGGCCAATCCAATTGCAACATTCTGGGCAACCCGCTTTGACGGTAAGGGACCCCGCGTGAACCAAAAGACAACCACCCGCGGAAGGAAAGTCCCGCGATTGTTGAAGGAACACTCATGAGATATGGACAGTGCCGCCAAAAAGCGCCGAGAGAAAGTGACATGCATCGGTTGCCTTGCACTGAATTTTTAATGATTCAGAGCCATAGCGAGGGGAGCTATTGCAGCCTGGTGATTAGTGCCTATTTGGGGGGGCAATCATCAAGAACCAACAGAGGCATGAACTTCGCATGGCTCCTTCGCTATCACGGCACGTCCAAGAAGGCAAAACACAAAACTGGCAGGGGCCCTCCCCACAAAGAAACACACCCTCACGGCTCCGGTCGATTAAAACCCCCCGAGCCAAACCCCAAGTCACCAATCCCAGCTTCATCCGCAGGCTTCTCCCGCTTTCGATGCTTGGCAGGCCACCTCAGCTCAATTCGCTGGACCGCTGGACCCATGGCTATGTTTGAGGCTTCAAATACAGACGGTCATGAGTCAATCCTGCTGGACTAGTCCACGAGAAGGCCAGAAGGTAACAGGCCAACATGTCCAAAATGGGTGTCTTGCGAAACTCGGAAACTTCTGTGGCATGCGGAGTACGACAATGCGCATGAACCGGTGTTGCAGCATGCTGAAAGATATGAGATTGTTCTTCTCTAAACAAACCCATGACAGTCACTCAAGTGGTCACTAGGATGCCAATGGCGTCGCAAAGCCTAGCGTCTGAGTTGCTAGGCCTTTGAGTAATGTCTCATAAGCCTCTCAAATTAAAATGTGCTTCCTTCAAAACTGATTGCTACGGCAGACCCGTGGATTTGTTTGCGGATTGTCATACCATGCTGGAAACGGCAGCTCGTACCACAACAAATCTCACAAAAGAAAACTCCACCATACTGCATCAAGCCCATTGTTTCTCACTTGGTCCCTTTTATGGCTACCCTCCCTGGGGCTGTCTCAAAGGAAAACCAAAGAGAGAAACGTGTTTGGGGGGGAAGTCAATCTTCCCCTAACTGATTCTCTCCTGACTGGATGTCTTTGACTGACTGAACCAACTGGAGCCTTCCCTCCAAATTTTGCGGGGGACCCAAAGTCCACGGATTTTCACCCCGATGCCCGCCGTCCGCCTGCATTGGCGCTGGGCCAGTGAGGCGCTCCACTGCTTGCCCTTCGCACGGCCCCGCGCCGATGGCGCGGTGTTCGCGGGTGGCACCCGCGGCACCCGTGGCATTTATGCGCAAAAACGGATGCCGGCGGATGCTGCGCTGCGAGGCGCATGGGCAGAGCGGGCGCCACCACAGCCCCAGTTTCTTGAACCCAGAATTGGGACAGGGGTGTTGCTCTTGGTGTTGCAGTTCTGAGCACTTGTGTAAAAAAAGATTGCCGCTGCGAAAACCCTTTTCTGCACGTATGTGACTATCCGACTCCTTGGCTGCGGACAGAATTGAATGCATCGAACAGCCAGCAGCCGAAAGGCGATCTATACGTACTTCAAGGTCTTTGACGACACACGCGCGCAATGCCAGGCTCGAACCACTCGGATTAAATATTGCTAAAAACCCTTTGGTGGACATCATTTGGGCGGGCTATGTCCATCCATGTTTCAAAGGCCGTGTAATTGGACCAAGACAAAAGTTGTTTCAGCCAAGCAACAAACCTTGGCCCAAGGGAACCAAAAGGAGGTTGCTTGAACAAGAGTGGTTCTTCCGTGTTTCTTTCCCCCCGAAATTTCGGGGGCTCACAGCCCGCCCACCCACCTCTGGCCCCGAACTTCGACGGCACAGAGCCCTGGCGAGAGCAGCCGAGAGGAGCCACCGAGTTCAGGACAAAGCGAACGGAATTGTTTGGCGGATCACGAATTGAGCGTTTTCAAAACAGTTGGGGCTGTGGGTTTCCCTGAAGAACACTCTCAAAAAGAAACACTAGATTCCCCGATGAACCTCCCTTTTAGAGACACCCCTGCGGGCCAACATGAAGCCAAAGTCCCAAGCCTGTGCTTGCAACAACCTTCCACGTGAGAAGATGGCATGTCCCGTCGACAGCCTGGAAAGTCCGGCGGAACATGATCGGATGCTGCCCTAAAGGCAAAATGGGAAGGATCACGAGCCAAGATTCTCGCGTAACCGACAGCACGTTCTTATTGGTTCCACACTCAATAACAGCCGTGCCAAGCTCTAAATCAACGCATGCGCGTGTCTCAAATATCGGCATCCCCTCAAACCCACCACGGGGTTCAAGCCGTCACCATGCACAAACAAAAAGATGCACTCTGACCCCTGCCTGCCATTCGGGATGGTCTCTTGCTGCAATAATCTTCTCCTCTGCGCACCCAAGTTCTCTCGATACGAGGTTCAGACATGGGAGAAGGCCCCCCAAAGGTGGGGCAAGGCAAACCCCAACTCAAGGGGTACCAGGGCCCCTTCTTCTCAATTCCCTTTTACAGTGCAACTTATTTTGTGTGGGGCAAGCTCAAACCCAACCTCTCCTGCACTGCATAGCTCTCCAACGGGTCAGCATCCATAGTAGGCCTGCGCAGGCGCAGGAGGTCCTTTGGGGAATTTGTGCAAAGCTCAGGTCCGACACGCCTCAAACCATCTCGCTGTCCAGCGTGTGTCTTGAGACCGGGCGAGACACGGCATTCAAAAAGCACAGCGGCATGCACAAAACAAGCCCGGGTCAAGCTGGCCCTCTACTTGGTGCTCAGTAGAATGAGGGAATGAACTTGGGGATTCTCCTTGTGGTTTATAGGGGACATTTGAACCATGTGGAAACTTAAACCACCAGGAATTGAACCGCAGGTTTTAGTCCATGTTTCTATTTGCCAGGGTTCCATTTTGGGTACCCATTTGTGACCCACACCCATGTGTGATTTGAAGACCTGGTAGCAACCTTAGCCCAGCATTTCATTCAAGCGATGAGAGAATCGAGGATCTAATGTTGTGTGCTGTTGCCATTCCTTGCTGACGCGTTCGACTTGCTGGTCCAATAGGCAGGGAATGAGGGAACAGAGCTTGCTTCAAAAATTTGATATTTCAAATTGATTTTGCAGGGCCTATTCTCGCCCGCGATGAGTGCCACGCTATGCGTGTCATATGTCTCCTTCCAATCATCCGCCCTGATGTTCGAATAACATTCCGTTCTCAAAGCAACTGTTCTGAAGCCATGTTATCAAAATGTGTACTTTATTGCTTGGGAAACAAATTCGTGGAGATTGAATTGGGATGCAAGCCTCTTCACAATGATGGAAGCAAGCACCAAGCACTTCCCCTCAACTCCATGAAAATGTCAAAACAAGTCACAACGCCGCACCGCTCTGTTTGCGAACCGTGCATCAAGCGAGAACCATGCTGGCAGCTTCGGCACAAGGTTAACAAAGAAACAAGGAAACATCTTCAGCCTCAGCGCAGTCACATAGCAAGACAGCATGGGCAACAAAATCACGTGCAACAACAAGCGGGGGCGAGCCACTCGAGCCGATCCGCGAAGAAAGCCAACACAAACATGACTTGAGTTTCTGCTTCCAAAAAATGGGTTGTTGCCCTTCTATTGCTAAAATAGAAGCTCGAATTGAACCCAACAGCCACCAACCGCGGTGAAGAACCACGGCAAGGTTCTTGAAGAAGTTTGCAAAACAGACGGCCCTGCATTTGGAGCTGTCGAGCATTCGAAATGGGTCAACAAACTGCACGCGGCCAGGAAGCACCGTCTGGCGGTAAAACTATGCCAGGGCTAAAGCATGGTGTGCACCCTGATCACCGTTGTTTTGGACCAGCCCAAAATTCAAGCAAAGCACAAAGATTCCCCTTTGCCTAGAGGCAACATAGCGTGGATCACGCCAACAAAAGTATTTGCTGTTTCTCTGACTTTACACAGGCTTGGGGGTATCGTGGGTACGGCGGGTCAATGAAATCAACAGCATACACATTTGCGCCAGCATGGGTGGAGTGGTTGTGGATGCGCGCGATTTGTGCTGGCATGGGCGCAGCTGCTGTACGTGCGTGAGCGTGTTGTTTTTGATCATTTGCACCAGCATGGGTGTGCAGTTTGGCAACACTTGTGCCAGCGCGTGGATGCGCGCAATAGTCTTCATTGTCATTTGTGCCAGTGGATGCACGTGAGCCTCTGCACAGTGGCTGTGGAGGCTTGTGAGGTAGAAGTGAACGGTCATGCATAACCGGTCCACATTATTCTTGTCGGGATATCTCTGATGAGAAAATCCGCACCGAGAGGTCGGTTTGAAGAAACCTTTTACTCTTCCGAGGTGAACAGCATTTCTTTCGAAGTCCCTCAGAGACGTAAAGGATCCGGTGGTAGCACGAATCTTTTGCTCGGCGCCTCGTCGAGCACAAAGTTGGTTTCCTGATCATCGTATGTTTGTGCCCTCTGAGAATCTTCTGGTTTGCCGTCTTCTTGGTCAGTGTGTCTCATGGTTCTCTGTGAACTTCCAGCGCTCGATGATGTTGGCACGTGAGGCATGAGTTCATCCTCACTGTCTGATTGCATCGGCAAATTGACTGGATTGTTCGGATGGACATTGGATGAACAGGCAGGTTAATTTCTGTGAGAAGACTCCAGCGATTGGTCACCTGGTTTCCCAGTCATCTGCTTCTTTGGTGGACTGCTCTGCAATCGCAGAGTTGTTTCTTCCTGCTCAAGCTGCGGCAGTTCAAGCTAATTGGCAGTTTTTGCCGTTTGCCTGTGAGGCTTGTTGTGAATCAACGGGACTGTCTGGTGGTGGGTCTGACGGTGTTGGATGATTGGGGTGATCAGGCATGTCTGGTGAATCCTGATAAGAATCTGACATGTGTTGGTCCAGTGGATTTGTAAGTCTTGGATCAGGCATGGGATGATTTGGTTCATTTGCTGGCCGCAGATCATCACGTTGCTTTCCATCTCGCTGGGCCTGGCACATCTGAGAATGGACTGTGAACGATAGATACATGATCGCATGCCACAATCTTGGATCGAAATCTTCCCAATTGCATTTGGACGCAGGCGTGACCCAAGTTCTAGTTGTCTGATGGTATGCGAAACGGCATACTCATGCCGACGGCATTGGTCATGTTGAGTGGATGACACTCAATGTTCTCAGCTTTTTGCAACCATTCCACAAACAGCACAACAGCACAACAGCACAACAGCCCAACGGCCCAAACGCAACGGCCCAACAACCCAACAACCCAACTGCCCAACAACACTCACTCACTCACTCACTCACTCACTCACTCACTCACTCACTCACTCACCCACCCACCCACTCACTCACTCACTCACTCACTCACTCACTCACTCACTCACTCACACACACTCACACTCACACTCACCCTCACCCTCACTCTCACCCTCACACTCAGTCACTCAGTCACTCAGTCACTCAGTCACTCAGTCACTCAGTCACTCAGTCACTCAGTCACTCAGTCACTCAGTCACTCAGTCACTCAGTCACTCAGTCACTCAGTCACTCAGTCACTCAGTCACTCAGTCACTCAGTCACTCACTCAGTCACTCAGTCACTCAGTCACTCAGTCACTCAGTCACTCAGTCACTCAGTCACTCAGTCACTCAGTCACTCAGTCACTCAGTCACTCAGTCACTCAGTCACTCAGTCACTCAGTCACTCAGTCACTCAGTCATCAGTCACTCCGTCACTCCGTCACTCAGTCACTCCGTCACTCAGTCACTCCGTCACTCACTCACTCACTCACTCACTCACTCACTCACTCACTCACTCACTCACTCACTCACTCACTCACTCACTCACTCACTCACTCACTCACTCACTCACTCACTCAGTCACTCAGTCACTCAGTCACTTCACTCAACTCACTCACTCACTCACTCACTCACCCTCACCCTCACTCTCACCCTCACACTCAGTCACTCAGTCACTCAGTCACTCAGTCACTCAGTCACTCAGTCACTCACTCACTCACTCACTCACTCACTCACTCACTCACTCACTCACTCACTCACTCACTCACTCACTCACTCACTCACTCACCTCACTCACTCACTCACTCACTCACTCACTCACTCACTCACTCACTCACTCACTCACTCACTCACTCACTCACTCACTCACTCACTCACTCACTCACTCACTCACTCACTCACTCACTCACTCACTCACTCACTCACTCACTCACTCACCACCCCACACCAC